CTCACTGCAACATCTGCCTCCTGGGTTCAAGTGATTCTCCTGCCTCACCCTCCTGAGTAGCTGGGATTACAGGCACCTGCCACCACACCCAGCTAATTTTTGTATTTTTAGTAGAGACGGGCACCGGGGCGCGCGGGAGCTTCATGTGCAGCTTGTCGCAGTGGCGAGAGGATGAGCAGGTAGTGGTCCAGCCTGATGAGGCAGAGGTTGAGGACGGAGGCGCTGCACAGGCTGGTCTCGAACTCCTGACCTCAGGTGACCCACCTCCCAAAGTGCTGGGATTGCAGGCATGAGCCACCGTGCCGGGCCTCAACCAAGACTTTCAATGTGACACTGAGTGTTCTACAAAGATAACTTTGAAGAGGGCCTGTTGCGGTTGGCATGGAAGCAGCAGCTCCGACACTTCGGTGAAGCCCACATCCCCAGTGTCTTCCCCTCCGCGGGGGACCTGACTCCAGTTTCATGCCTTTTGTCTCTCTTTTCAGAGGTGTGAACATGTATGCCATGTTGACCGGGACACTGCCTTTCACGGTGGAGCCTTTCAGCCTGAGGGCTTTGTATCAGAAGATGGTGGACAAAGAAATGAACCCCCTCCCCACCCAGCTCTCCACAGGTAATGCACCTGCTGCTCTATATCATGGTTCAGGACTTTTGTCATGATCAGTTGGGGTCCACCTGTGAAGCTGTATTTGTTTTGCTGCAATGGTGTTATGTCTATTTCATGATTGTAAGTTTCTTTCTAGTATTAAAATGAAGTGTCAAAGGGTGGTTGGGTTTCCCATCTGTCAACAGCCTTTTACCTATACCCTTTCCTGTTTCGTTATAATTCTGAACCCCTAACTCCTCCTTTCTCCTGCACAAAACGCATAGATCCAAAGGATCTGATATTCTCCATTTGAAAAGTAATTGCAGACTCGATAGTTTTAAAACTCACTGTATTATGATGTTGATAGAATTGCAGAAAGAAGATATATTGGAAATGTGACTGTAAACCCTCCATGTCTTCTTTCTGCAATTCACTGTGAAGAAATGCTCGTTGCATTCAAGTTGGGGCTGTGATTTGTTTTGTTAGTTGAGTTTTTGAGCCCATTTAAAAGCTTTTAATTATATAGAGGTTAAGTTACTTGATTGGACTGAGTCATCAGGTGTGTTTGAAAAGTTCTCAAACTTTAGCTGGTTCACATTTCAGTAAACAGGCTGTATTAAGGTTCAGCTTCAGATCCAGTAAATTAGTACAATTTGTTCTTTTGTTTGGTTCAAAATTCAAGTTCCTGGCCTTGGCCTGGCTTTGATGATCATTTAATTGGCTCCTTAGAATAAACTCAGCTCCACTGAGATAAGGCTTTTGACCAAGGAAGAAAGCAGTTATTTAACTGCAACTTATGATACATAGTTAAAATATAGCATTTTATTTTACTTCTTTTTTTTTTTTTTTTTTTTTT